GGTATTCTTACTTAGGTGAAATGTTGTTAATGAGTTCAGTTTCCCAGCTTTTGTATCTTGGTAAAAAAACAGGGAACAGGGCATGCTATTTATCTGCTTAGAATGTTGCTGCACAGGAATGAATTTCATAAGCACCCTACGTATATTAAAAAATTGTAATTATTAATTGTGTATGCAGAAATAACTAGGATTCCCATGTCTGGTTTAAACAAATCAGATTTATGAAAATGGTGGGGTTTCGTGCGGGGTTCTTTTCTTTTGAGAAGGATGTTGTAAAAAAGCTGTAAAATTTACCCATTCTTTTACCTTTTCTAATTGAGGAAAGGCATTTTTCAGATCTGGCATTTTTTAATACCAGTCTTCTTACCCTGCCCATCTACTCTTTAACTATTTAGTCCATCAGTCACTTCATAAGTAAAGAGAAAAAGTAAGTAAATCCCCCACAGATGTAACGTTCTAAATATACTGTCTTACTATAACTACAACAAGATCCAGATTTTTTTTTTCCCCCTCTCCTAGTATATTCAGCAAAACATAAGGGCAGACTGTTCCAACATTGATAAGATCCTTGAACCTCCTGAAGGCCAGGATGAAGGTGTATGGAAGTACGAACATTTAAGGTAAGAATCCATCTTTTGTCAACATAGTGTCCTGATTCTAAGTTTTGTTCATTGATGGTGGTAGTGAGTCTTTTTCAATAGGACAGATCAAAAGTAACTTAAATGAAACTTGATATGTCTATTATTTTCTGAATTTCTTGTTCTTTCTAAAGATTTATGATGCGTTCTGATCTAGTGTTTTTCATGTTTTTTAAGAAAATGTTTGTACCTCACTTCAAAAGTTGTACTAGCATGTTTTGAATATGAAAATATAGTCATGAATTTCCATAGCCCTTTCTCGTAGTATCATCAGTTCTTCATCTCCACTAACTGGGAATGTGATTTCCAGATGCTCCCAGTGCTTTTTCTAGAGCTTGCAGGAAAATAGGCTTTAGCTGGGAAAGCAAGAGTACCTATATCTTACAGTTCTTTTTCTGGTTGTAAGGAAACTCAAAACTTTCTGTCCTTCTCTCAGTTTGTTTTATGCAGTATAAAAAATACGTTCAGCCTAGGTAGTTTGTGCCTGAAAGTGTATTTCAGTTGTAGAGTAGGTTTACACCCTGTTAATACATACGTATTCATCCTTTTTTCCTGGCATTACTTCAGTATCCTTGTGTCCTGATTTTTTTCTTATAAGTGTGGCTTGTAACTTTATCAAATACACTTTCAGGAATAAGAATAGTTCTAAGCTACTCCTAGATTTATATATCCTGACTTTTTGCCTCCGACTTTCTTTTTCTCTCCTCTGGTCTAGAATAGTTCGAATAGATGCGGGGAATCCTCAAAAGAGGAAAAAGTCAATGCATACAATTGCAAAAGACACATTTTAAGGATTTCCTCTGTCCTTTCACATACGCCGAAAATGATTCCAGATTCATAGAAGTGACTTGTCACTAAATACTTGTCACTTTTGGAAAATGTATTCAGATTTTTCTTGTAGGATGGAGGGGTGAATTCTCTTAAAGAATGCACTTTCAGGTTCATTCTAGTGAAAGCAGTATTTCTAGAAGTCCCACTCTGTTAATGATCTGTGGTGGGACTTTAGCGAATTAATTGATCTGGAGGAAGTATATCTTACAAGGATGGAATGATCCAGCTGTATGAATTTAAAACTTACACTCTCAAGAAATTAATTTTCTTGAAGTATTCTTTTTTTTTTTTTTTAACCTCTATTTGTGAAATAGCACTTTCTTCCATAACAAAGTTGGTATCTTAAACACTCCCACTACATTATTTGTTAAGCTCAGCCTTTACTGTCACCTAAAAATTAAAAAATATAAATTGCTTTGCTGAGTAAAAAAAGTATGCTGGTGTGAATTCTGTTTCTCTCAACTTGTAGTCCTTTTATAGCGTGTTAATTCCTAGCCTGTTGCCTTTTAGGTGTGACATCAGCTGAAATTATTTGGTGGTATTCTTTAAGTATGATTTTTTTTTTTTCATGTTCTAATGTATTTTTTCCACTTTACAAGAATCATTTCCAAAAACATTAAGAGATCTGTGAAGATCAGAATGTATAACCTTGGTTTGTACTCGATGTGTCTAGTGGGAAAACAAATTGTTGATTTTGATGCTGCTGTGTTCACATTTTTTTTAGACAATTCTGCCTTGAGCTCAATGGACTAGCTGTCAAGCTTCAGGTAATTATTTTCTTGATATTTTTATATTGTATCAGGGAGGAGGCTTTTTTTGTATTGTAAGATGCAGAGTTTGTAAAGCTTTCTTCGTCGAAATTTATACACATAGGCTTAAGCAGTGGTTTCAGGTAAGATTTTTTGAGAGTTTTAAAGATTTCTGGCAAATGACCCTTTTTGGTGGGGGACAGGGCAAGAAAGTGATTTGAAAAGATCGGCTCCTTTTTGCTGTTGGGTGGTTTTCATAACTGAACAATTGTTTTGACAGAGCGAATGTCACCCAGACACATGTACTCAGATGACAGCAACTGAACAATGGATTTTTCTTTGTGCAGCTCATAAAACTCCCAAAGAGGTACGGATGTATTTTGGAAAACTGACCCCATTGATGTAGGATTTTCTTTCACAGTTCATATGTTCATGGGGAGACTATTATAGCTAGCTTCTTAGTCAAACTGAGAGCTTATGTGGGTTAAGAATATCACTTGAGGTTTCCTTCGTTCCCATTCTGTAGTGGTTTACTAAAGAATGGGATGAGGTAGGAAGGAGCCTCTTTTTACCACACTATTAGAGACTTTGCACATTCCCCTCTTTTCTCTCTTAATTTGTGCTGAGACAGCCTGAAACTCAATGGAAAAAGGTCTTTGTTCAATTGAAAGAAGAGTACATGCTGAGAATAGGCTGTCCTCTTCAAACTTTGGCCTCCATCTGTAGCAGTAGGCACATGAGCCTGACACTCTGGAAGTGACCACATGTGCACATTCTTAGGGAAGTTACTCCTAAAACGTAGTGGAGTCATAAAAATATTTCATGTCAAGTGGGTTATCAGCATGGCAGTAGCTTGTCTACCTGAGTGTCCAATTACTTTGAACTTTGTTCAGATCCCCTGTTGAACCACTTGATACCTTTTTTTTTTTTGCCTTCAGAAGGTTTTTCTCTGTTGCTATTGGTTACGGTGATAGTGCAGTCTGTCAGATTTATCTTTGTATTTCACCTTCCAGAATAAGGTATTGGTTCTTCTTCACCATATCCTTTTTGTCCTGTAAGCTTTCTGTTTGTTTGTTTGTTTGTTTGTTTTTCATTTCCTGAGATGCCTTGATTTAGCTCTGAAGGCCAGCTTCTTTCCCACTCCCTCCTTTAACCCACATCACCACTCAGTATAGTGGCATGCAGTATGCCTGTTTTATTCAGCTAGACTGGAGAACTTCAGGCTGCTTTTTATCTCTGAACGTGCATCGTTCATCTGCCATTTTCCATGTTGATAATAGCTGTCAACTAATGGTCAGATAGCGGGTCACGCAACCTTGAACTGCTGACAAAAATGTGTAACTGAGAAGTCTTCTTCCTGAAATTGGGGAATGGCAAAATGGACAGACATTTGTCTCAGTTCATCTTTACTTTCTTCCTTCTTCTCTACATGTATTTGATTGCAGAGCCAGGGCTTGGCTTGTTATACATTTAGCTATACTAATGATTTTGTTTTTCTTTGCCAAGGTAAAAAGCATTGATATACTTGGGTGCAGGTTTTGTTTTTTTTTTTTTGGTTGGGTTTTTTGATAAGGTGTTAATTTAGGCTGTAAAACAAAGAGTCTGGCAACTTGACTTTGTGGAAAACAAATGAACTGTAAGGTAATGATTGTCTTTCCTTTCAGTGTGCTTCCAGTATATAGTCTTATTCTACAGCTTTACGTAAGGAGATGCAATAAAATTCACTACTCATGCCTAATCGCATTTCCATAGTAACTTTTTTCTTGAAATAATTTATATGGGCAGTGAAACAGAGAAAAGAAATGGCTCACTTAAGGAGGAAATGTAGTTAGACCTTCAGAGACGTTATGTGAAACTTCTGGGAATAAAAATGACCAGTGAAATTAAAAGCATCAGGAAACATAATCGATGTCATGCAAGCAATCATGCACCTGCTCACTCACTGTCTATTTTTGTAGTGTCCTGCTATAGACTACACCAGACACACACTTGACGGAGCTGCATGTCTTCTGAATAGCAATAAATATTTCCCCAGCAGGTAAAAATGCTTTCTTTTGGGAGGAGGGAGAGAGGGAGGGAAGAGGTGGCACCTAAACACTTAGAAAGCACGTGGAAATGCGTAACGCATTTTTCGTGAACTACTACTGAACGGATCAGAAATCCTGCAGGATGTGTCACTTGTTGGTAGAGCTGTTGTCACTTAAGCCAAGGAAGAATTCCTGCCTATTCAAATAGTTGGCCATTTACTGGAGCTGACGGGTGCTTTTTAGGTGGAAACTGTTTTACTGATGTCTGTTGGTGTTACGGGGCTTCCGTTGACATAGTGCCAACCTAAGGAACAGGGTGGCCTTTAGAGAGATGCAGTGACTCAAAGGACTTAAACACTGTGCCACAGAAAACCTCCAGAAGCCAACGCCAATCTGCTGTGGGACATCAGTGACCACAGAAGACAGAGTATTGAATGGGCAGCCCACGCGTTGGGTCATGGAAACCTCTCTGGAGAAGTCAAAACTGTGCTTCTCTAGGAATCTGGTGTTGGCAAGGAGGCACAACTGGAAGGCTTTTTCCCTTTGCCCATCAATGCTAGAAACCAGAAATCCAGCCCTTACCAGAATAACTGATGATGTTTAACTACAGGCAAAACTGTTTTTGTAGTCAGAGTACAATTTTAAAATGTGGAATATGCACTAATGTTTTTCTCTTCCTTGCAAAAATAAGCAATTGCAGACACAGATATCTGCAACACTTAAGTCTAAATTTCATACGCAATTATACGGTATAGTTTAAAAATCAGAATTCATCTCAACACGTATCTTGGTAGTCATTTCGGCAGACCTGTTTTAACCTTTTTCCTGGTGCTTGCAGGGTTAGCATAAAGGAATCCTCTGTAGCCAAATTAGGATCAGTGTGCCGAAGGATTTACAGAATATTTTCACATGCTTATTTTCATCACCGGCAGATATTTGATGAATATGAAGTAAGTCGCTTCAAATTACATCTTGAAAGAAGGGCATTTACTGAAGTTAGAGCTGTGATGTAATTGTATTACATGTTTTCTTTTAATCCTACCAGAAGATCTGCATTCAAGTGAAGTATTGATTATAGTAGATTACAGTTTTATAAGAACTGAAATGCTGTTATACATACATATATAAAAATGAAAACTAATTTATATCATTAGTTTACCCAGTTATGGTTTCCCTTAATTTGGACAAAAGGTCAGAATTTGAGAGTTTTTGTACAAATAACTCAAATTCATCTTGTTTTAAAGATTCCTGAATGTATTCAAGCACTTGAAATAGTTAGTACTGCTTATGTATATATGTTTCCTGTTTGTTTATGTCACCCAACAATTAAGGAATTATGATTGTAAAACTGCAAAGAAACAGTAACTGGTGGCAGCTTGTGCACCTCCAGTAAACTTCCAACTTTTAAAATGGAAAAATAGAAATAGATAGAAAGGAGACAAGGGGCACAGCTGGATGTAAAAGGAACGCTTTGTCAAATCCCACTTAAGGTGGCTGGAACAGCTACGGAATGGTTGTGCCCTGTTCTGTGGGGGGTAGCGTATGTAGGAGTTTCACAATACCTTAAAATCCTGTTTTGGAGAGTGGATCAGGGCTACATTGATATTTGAATATATTCTTGCCTAAGTGCTATTGAATTGAGCTGTGACTTAAGCCTGAACCTCAGCAGGGTTTTTTGTTAATTGCAGTAACTATAAGCAAGCAGTGAAGGAAAGATTTAAAAGTAATATACATTTACCATTTGACCATTACGACTTCTTTCTAAGACTTGTAAATCTAATGAGGCAATTATATATAAGGAGGGGTTTTTTTAGTATGTTCTCCTCAATTGTTTAAAATATTCCTTCTGTATATATTGTTTTTTCCCCTTTTTTTCATCTCCAGAATGAAACTTTCTTGTGTCACCGGTTCACTAAATTTGTGATGAAGTATAATCTGATGTCCAAGGATAACCTGATTGTACCAATTTTGGAAGAAGAAGTGCAGAATTCAGTGTCAGGGGAGAGTGAGGCATGATGGGAATTGGCAGTACAGAAGCCTGTACTGAATATAAAGAGAACATTAATTATGTACTGTATATATCATTTTAGACACTTCAATCACGTATCCTCATAGCTTTGTTTAGTATACTTTTGTATGCTGTGTGCATTGCCTTTTAATATGGGAAATACTTTAAGTTATTCATGAGCTGTATATTCATCAATGTGGCACTCATGGTTTTTAAATAAAAGTAGTAGTATCTGTTTATAATGCCTGTTAATAAAAGAATTTACAGTTCTCTAAAATTGCTGCTAAACAATCATTGAATCACAATCCTGAAGATGTGTCTGATTGGGTGGGGAAAAAAGTGAGATTAAGATTTCACAGCAAGCCATTTTTTAATGCAGTAGCTCTATTAAGTCTTCGTTCAAAGATTATCACCTTAAATACATAATTCTGCAGGAAGCTTCTTGCAATGTAGCTTATTCCCAATTTAGCTTTTATTTTTTTAAGATGGCTTTGAAGATTTACTTTCTGGATGTGCATATTCCTGTATGTGTATATCCAAATACTAATAGGATCTATAGTATTACTAATACCAAAAGGATAATTTCACTATGCTATTGAACATATATATATTCTTAATATACACTTAACATACTTCCTGGACTTGTTTTTTTGTTAACAGTGGAGGTTTGTGCACAGCAGGGGACAGGTTCTGACCTGTTAAGGCAGACTTCTGTTCTCCAGTCCACAACTTCTCTAAAGAGTAACTGTGGCAGAGAAGTCAATGGCTTGTACCTGTGCGTATTTATGGCAACTGCTTACAGATTATACCTCACGTAAATATTCATGTTACACTACATAACACGCTAGCACAGTCTTTGCTTGTATTCCTAGTAAAAACATTCTAAGTACTTGAAATACTGAACCTGATTCTTCGCAAGAATTGATCATATTTTCTTTTTCTTCATTCACCTGAATTATATTACTTGTCAGAAAGATTTGGATTCATGCTTCTGTTCCCTATCAGATGTTTATTTCAAGTTGTGTTTGCAGATTTGCAATAACTGACAATTTCCATGAGTGCTGCTTAATTGCGTTATGTCTAGAGCGATAGAATTAAATGTTTGAGATGGATATAGCAGACATACTGCTAAGCGTACATGAACGCCGGGTCTAAAAGCACGAGCAGTGTTCTTATGTTAAATGAGTTTTGCTTAGCTGTTAAGAAGTTAGCTCGTTGTTTCTCTCTGAGGTTGCCAGGGGCCCTCTTTTTATTTCTTTAAGCAGGTCGGAACAGGCTAACGCAGCTAGTTTCTGTAATCTACGCTTTGTTTTCTGAGTTGTACTTACTTGGAAAGAAGGGAGTCCACCTATTTTTAGTAAGTCTTTTTTCATAATATACTAAACATGCCTTAAATTCTATTTTTCTTTATATGAATCAAGCACACCTCAAGCAACTGTACCACCTGGATGTAAAGGGAATTTAAACAATGAGAAAATAGAGAGACTAAGCTTAAGTACTTCAACAGCTGTATTCTTCAGGAGCTCTTTGTGTCTCATGTTTATCATTGTTATTTAATTGTCAGCAGGGTAATTGCATGAGATGTTGTCCGAGTGAACATAGCTTTAGTTGCTGTCTATACACTTAACTATAACTTGTGTCGCATAGACCAGGTTACCTGATTTTTGACAGATACCTTGAAGTTTGTACTGCAGGTAGGACGACTGTATTCCGGAGGTAGTAAAACGTATTTAGTTTTGTTACAGTCTGCTGTTGTAGTCACCCTGCATGCTTATTTTGGCCATGGTGACCGAGACAGGCAAAAACATGGAACTGGTGTTGCTAATTACGTTTCCTCTACAAAATTGAAGAAAATGATGTGGTGCTCAGGACTGCATTAAAATTTTAAACCTCTTTTCTTCCTCTTATGCTTTAAGAGTTTCACTTCAAAACAAAACTCGGGAAGTTTAAATCCTGTTTATTCTCATTCAGAGTTGCACTGTAAAGTTGACTTGCTATACCAAGCTGATTTTATATAAGGCCTAAGTGAAACACTGCTTGTATTTTCCCTTGCTATTGTTTACATGAGTACTGTGTACACACATGTGCCTGAATGGTACCATAAAACGTCAGTTAGCCTAAGCAAACCATTGATTTGTCTAATAAATATTAACAGGTTTAATTTAGACTCTACATAATAGGGAAATCAAGACTGTCTTTGAATTATATTGTAAAAAAAAAAAAAAAAGATAAAATTAAACTGTTTCTTTATCCATACCGCTATATTTTGGTAAGTGATTCTCATTTTTCACGTCATCCAAGAATGCAGGCAACTGAGTGCTTCCAAGAGAAAGCTGGGTGCTCTCCCATCTCTGCTGCAAGGTGTGCTGGAGCAAAGTTGTATTTCTTCTTTCAAAAGTAGAAAAATACAATACTCATTAGCATCTTGAAGTCAGACATCAAGTTTATACATCTCTCAAATCAGAAAATGATGGTTCTACAATGAAAAAGTAGGGGAGATCTAGAAGAGGCCCTTTCAGATACCAAAATAAGCGCAGGATGATAGTGCATCACAGATGCAAGGGCACATTATAAGCAAAGGAGAGCTTTCAGATGACTTTTTCCTTAAGTCACTGAGGTTTTCCCTGAGGTTTGGCTTAGCATTTCTTGCAACAACTCGGCCACGGTGATTTTGCCACTTTCCTTTTAAGATTTTAATTCTCTCAGATGTCGAAGTTTATCTGCTTAAACAGATCAGAACATGTCACCACACCAGTGCCTTGAAACCACTTTCTCCCTTTCAAGTTACGCTTACCTGGAGTCAGAAATGTTCGCTTCTTTAATTCACACCAGTTGTCGAAATTCTGATGCAGGAATTTGGCTTGGAAAAGTCTAAATCCTAACTAATGCTATTCTCTGAATTAAGCCGTAGGGAATTGTCGAGACACCAACCCGCACTTTTTACCTGCAAAAGATTAATAGACTGAGGACAAGGAGAACCTAGTCAGGTTTTACTAGGCGGCCGTAAGTCTAACAAGCTTTGCCTTGTGAGCCGTACGGGCGTATGGGCAAGACTGCAGAAAGGTAATTCTGGCTTGAGGAAAGGTACACGTTGATGAACCCGTTTAAGGTCAGCGTAAGGCAAACATAATACAGAAACTGGTAGCTGATTTGATAAGTGCTTTTAATGGTGAGAAGCTTCCTGTCAGAAATATAGAAACGATCTTAGCTTTACAAAAAGAAGTGTATTTTACAGACCAGAAACACAGAAGTGAAGCAGCAGTTCATTGCAGTTGACCAGGTATGTAAATAAACTGTTCTGACAATTATGAGCACAACGTTGTGGGTTGTTTTTATCCCCCCCCCCCCCCCCCCCCCCCCCGCACTCTTCCCTCCTTTCCCCTTCTCAAACC